ATTAATTAGGTGATTCAGAAACAAGACCATCCTTAATACCAATACCAATTCCAATGTATACACCTGCAACATCAACACTAAGTCGAACATCAAGTCGTGAAAGTATTCTTTCTGAACAATCATGTGCATCAACATCATCAACAACACAACAACGACGACCAAGTAAACTTCCATTGCCAATATCTCGATATAAAAAGGCAACGAATGCAACGACACCGGTCAAAAATTCCTAAAAAAAGAAAAACAACATATTTTATCGCTTTTTTTTATATATTCATTTTATTTTCTTTTTATGTTCCTAGTCAAGATTTTATTCATGTTTTAAATCTTTTCTTTTTGTGGGTGCTCTAAGTAGTACTCGGGTTGATTCTTTTGTTCTTTCTTATATGCTATAGCATTCTTTTTTGGTTGTTTTTATTTAGCTGAATATCAACTAAACCCTTTCCTACAATAGAAGAATTCGAGTCGTCCAGTATGTCGAAATTTTTCACTGGACGAAATGATGTTCATATTAATTTTCGAAGATTTATCAGCAGGAAAATATGAGAACGAGGCTTATACTTATCTAAATATATTAATTTATTCGAAAAAGTGAATTAATTAAACAGAAGTTTTTATTATATATGACGAATTAATCTTCTATTGCAGGAAGGGGTTTATATTGGTTTTTGTTTTGATCATTTCTTTTATTCTGTCTCCTTGGCTTGTTGTAATGCTGTTGAATCTCGTTTTTGTTATTTGAAAAAAAAAAATTACTAACAACTAAGCTGTTAATGTAAATATAAACTCATGATACATACAATCTTTATGTTAATAGGAATATTTTAATAGAATTATTGATCTAAGTTGGTTTTTATCGGATTTCGACGAAATAAGGATGAGAGTCCTGCTCACTGGATTGTTTGACTTGGGATCGCATGAGCAAACCACGCATTGTTGTTGAGACTGTTTTCGTTATTTAGTCAAATGTCTTCATCTTGAAGCAGCTATTGTGAAAACGATAAAAAGCTTTTCCAAATAATTAATGAATATGCTAGTGGCACTTTCGTTCAATGACTGTATTTGGACGTATTTATGCATCACCGGGAGTCAAAGTGTTAAGTATCATTTCATACAAAAGGATGTATATTATGGGATATCTATGCTCGAGTCAATATTATTTTCAAGATACTCTGCAATTAATAGAAGACTTGTAAGTAATCATCCATCTGTTTATTAGTCTCTTTAGAAATCAATACGAAATTAGACAAATTCATATATTGAATTTTTTTTATGATTAAGCACTCATTTTTATTAATTATTCGGTCCTTATTTAGAACATATCAGTTTATCCAACAACACGGATGTGTCACTTTGAAACATCAAACATGATCATACATTATCTATGAACCGTACTAAAAGTCGGATATCTGTAAAAGACACAAACACCCATATCTTTTACCAATGAGATCGACCCGACTTAGGCACATACCCAAAATATTAATAATCTTAGAAAAATAGGAAGGATTGTATTTCCTCAATTTTAAGCCTTGTAATCGACTCAGTAGCCTAAAAAGAAGAGAATACGATGCTGATACTATCAAATACTGTTATTGATTATAGAGATCGATTGGACATCTTCATGCGAGTTATATACAAAATTCTATGATAAAACTTAAAATTGAGAAAATACATCTCTCCGGTTTTTCTAAGACTACTAATATATTAGGTATGTACCTACGTCAAGTCGGTCTACTCACTAGTAAAAGATATAGATGTTCATAGAATCAGCTCGATGATCTACTGATAGTATCAATTCTTGATTTGGAGTATTCGAGTGTTTTACAGATAACTGTAAAAATCTTCTATATGTATTATTATTATTATTATTATCTCTAACAACAAATTATTCCATCAATAGAATAGAAAAAGAAATAACTGATACAATAGCCTGTTCCTATTTCACAGAAGTGCCATTTTTTAGAATCAGTGTGATTATTATTATGGTTATGTATTTGATGATCTAATCTAATACATCATATAAATATGTTCATTCGAACAATATATACATACGTGACACAGATAATATCAATATACAAAAAAAAGAAATTATCTAGTTGATATAGTATAGAATTCATTCAATCTCATAGACAATGTTCTTCGTATTCTCCTATGTTTTCTTATTGGTAAATTTTTTAAAATTTTATCGTAAGAAAAAAAAAATAACTTCCGTCGAAACATGAATATTGTAATGTATATTTTATTTAGATATGTGTCCACTTGAATATCGTATTATTGATCCAAATCATACATTTTGTTCGAAACCATTTCCAAATGTTATTGATCAACGTGTTACTTCATCTGAACGGTCATATATTATTAACATGCATAATTATGAACGACGTCGTGCATATGGTACTAATATCGAAAAAATGGTATAGTCGAGTTTTTGTTTTGTATCACATTTAATCTGATATTTAATAGTATTGGAATGATGATTTAGCTGAAATTGCTCTTCGTCATGCTCGTACATGTATATTTGAACATGATAAAACCAATCAACGAAATGTACCAAGTAAATTAGAGAGAAAAATACGATGTTTTTTTTATTGTATAGAAAATTTTAGAAATTCCTTTATCAACGGGACAAAATCTTGCTATGGGTTATGAAAATTGGATAGAAGTTATAGAAGGATGGAGTGAAGAAAAAGAATATTATTATCATGCCTTTCCATCAACACATATGTTCAGTCATTATACACAGGTTAAAAAATAATCATTGAATGACAATTTAAAATTTTATTAATATTTTAATCTAGATGATATGGCATTCATCAGTATTAATTGGTTGTGCAGCAACGATTTGTCCTCCATTTGGAACACACAATATTCCATGGCGTTTTTTTATTTGTAATTATATCACAGGGTAAGTAATAAAATGAAGAATCGAAATAAATGAACATATAAATATATTATAGAATGTTAAATAGCAATTATCATGAAGCATTCAAACCAAGTATTGAATATCATCCATTGCATGGTTACTTGATCATATAATCTTGTTTCTTCTAATATAAACAATTACATTTTAGATTGTCAAGGTAAAGTATGTCTATATAATGGTACCCTTGATTTAAATACATGTAAATGTCAATGTTCTACATATGCAAGTGGTGTACAATGTGAAAAATGTAAATTATTTGATCTTTGATTGAATAATATTCATTAAAGAAAATTCTTTTAGTAAATTGTTCAATGCTACCTTCATGTCCTTATCATTCATCAGTATCTTGTATAGCTGTTGATGTTCCATTAGAATGTCCTCGTCTTTGTGGTCTATGTGATCGATATGAAATATTAAAAAATATTTATGGTGAAGAGAATTTAACATCTACGATTATTTTTACTACCAATGAAAAAAGGTTATCTTTTATAAATACAAAATTGATTATAACTAGAGATGGGCACCGGGACCAAAAAAATTTTCTGGTCCCGGTAAAAGATTTGTTTGCTGTTCTGCTATCTTTATTGTTAAAATATTCTTTGACTGTCCATTTTGTAGAGAAATGCTTGCTCTTTCAGCCTATATATTTTAAAATGTATCACAGATTTTCATTATCAATTAATTAAGCAAATATATGACCGGGGCCAAGATAGTGGCGTAACCAGGATTTTCTCGTATGCTGGATCTTATCTTTAGAGCATGGGATCCAGATGAAATTTATAGAGGTATGATACTGGACTCAAATGATGAATTTTTGTCGCAAGATTTTTGCAATAGGAGTTTGCGAAAAAAATTAGCATTTTCCTGCGCCCCACCAGAGTTTTTCTTTTGCTATTAGTAGCATTCTATTTTTTAGAATTTAGTGGTAAGCTACATCAAAATTCATCGACAGATTTCAAATTTCATCTAAAAATATGCATCCGTTCACGAGTATTAAGGTTTTGAATTTTTGTTTCACACTGCGAAAATTTTAGAAAACTTTCAAAACTTTATAACTCATGAATGGATGCATATTTTTAGATGAAATTTGAAATCTGTGAATGAATTTTGATGTAGCTTACTATTAAATTCTAAAAAATAGAATGCTACAAATAGCAAAAGAAAAACTCTGGTAGGGCGCAGGAAAATGCTAATTTTTTTCGCAAACTCCTATTGGAAAAATCTTGCGACAAAAATTCATCATTTGAGTCCAGTGTCATACCTCTATAAATTTTATCTGGATCCCATGCTCTAAAGATAAGATCCAGCATACGAGAAAATCCTGGTTACGCCACTAGACCAAGATGACCGGGACCAATTTAGTCCCAGTCATTGTATTGGCTTAATTAATTGAGAAAGAAGATCTGTGATACATTTTAAAATATATAGGCTGAAAGAGCAAGCATTTCTCTACAAAATGTACAGTCAAAGAATATTTTAACAATAAAGATAGCAGAACAGCAAGCAAATCTTTTACCGGGACCAGAAAATTTTTGTGGTGCCGGTGCCCATCTCTAATTATAACATTGAAGTTTTTAGTAATGAGTACTTAGTTTTTTTTTTTACTTTGTTCTAGTTCAATCAATATGAAATCAACATTACACAATTTACAAAATCAGTATTTATAAAACAAAATTATATTTATATTTCATTTTTTTCTTTAATATTTAGCATTCAATTTAATTCAACATCAATTATCAATACAACAATGTCTATGATCGTTTTATCAGCATCATCAACAACATATTCATTTTATCAAATGATTGTATATGTAGTTATTAAATATTTATTTTTTGCATAATATTATTCTCATTCAAAGATTTCCCTTCACACAACAAAAAAAGAAGTGAAATAATAAATTAATTGTAAATAAATATATCACATAAAAAGAGAATAGAACCCCGGATGAAGAAAAAGACAAGCCGCTAAAAATTTCCTTGAGCAGTACGAACTTGTTATGTAAGAAATGAATATATATATATATATGTATCAATAAAAATGCGGCAATTATCGATGCAGAATTCATTCTTATGAAAAATTAATGATGAACTCCATTTGTTTGCATCGATATAGGTGTTACACCATTTGATAGTGATAGTTTTTTAGGGAAATCAGTGATAGGCTAGAAAAAACAATCATGAATAAATAAAATCATATTTTTTTTTGAAAGAAAATTTACTTCTTGTGTATCAGTATTTAATTCAATAAAAATTGGTAGATCATAGATTTGACCTTTAGTAAATTCAAGATTCTAAGAAAATTTATTAATAGAAACAAAATTTTAAACAAAATATTAATTTATATACTTCTCCTGCATATGAAATAAGTGGTGAAATTTCACAAGTCTTTCCAATTGTTTCACTAAAACAGAACAAAAAAATTTTTTTGATTAAATTCTTTTCATAAGAAATAGTTGATTATACATACATATGTTTGTTTATATCTAATGGTAAATAAGCACCAGCTTCTTGAAGCCAACGAACATGTTGAATCATTAAATCTCGTCGACATGTTGCTGCTGTATCCTTTGAACCTGAACCATTTTTTAATGGTGAAAATTCATCTTCACGACGTACTTCCCAAACAGCAAATGTTCTATTTTTCAAACAAAACAAAAAAAATATTCTCATTCTGTATATATTCATTTCTAATTTTAATCAGTATTTTATCCTTTTAATTTTCTCCTCGAAGAAAAATTATTCGTTTTTTTTTATTCGACAGATTCATAATGGAAAACTCGAAATAATAAGATCTGAAAAGGAATCGAGTCGAACAATCATTGTAAGTTAAAAATTATTCCTTCTTCTTAAGACAATCGTTAACAACATGCTTAAACCGATCCGAGATGATTGATAATCTTCGAGTAGAACCTATCATGTCGAAAATTTTTGGATCCGGAACCACTCTATCGAACGTTTTCGGGCTTGGATTCGGAACCATCAACTCAATGCGTTCTACTTTCGAGCAACTCTATTAAATTTGGATTAGAAAATTTCATTGAGTGTATAACGAGTACAGCTCGGGTGCGCGTCCGAAAAATTTTAATTAATCGGCTTTCGACCCGAAAGTTTTTAATCCGATGTACTCTATCCATGGATTAATTTTTCTTTCTCGATACAAATAACATGATGATTTAACTATTGAATATGAAATATATAATACTATACTAGTATTCTATAGTAAATAAATTTTTTCTTACTTTGAAAATGGAAAAACATCAAAAACAAATTTTTCTAATTTAATTCCATTGATTTGTGATGGTTTATCAACATATATACCATTGGTATCAACAGATGGAATTTTCTTTTTAGCAACATGATAACGAAGTTCATTTTCACCTTTTCTAAATTTAAAAAAAAATTTGACATTAAAAATAAATAAAACAAAAATTTTTTCTTACAAACAAACATCTTGAAGAAAATTTAAAGTAAAAAAATGATTACAAATATTTCCAGCATTAAATACTAATTCATCACTATTATCAGATTTTTTTCTATGTGCTGTTTGTTCAGATATTTCAGAATATTCAACGACTTGAAAACGTTCACCAACTTTACATATAACACCGACTGCTTCGGTTGGAATGGTTTTTTTTACTACCTAATAAATATAAATAAGAAAACCAAAAAAAAAAAAACAAATTCTAATTTTACTTTTGCAGCACAATCGGCATTTTTCTTTAAACAAAAACCAATAAATATTGGATCAGCTAAACGAACAAGAATATTATCTACACCATAAACATGAACATATTGAATATGACGTTTTTTCATTTCATCTAAAACTGAACGAGTTTTTAATGCACGATATAAACCACCATTTCCATCAGCTGCTTTTGTTAATCTATATTTTTCTTCAAGTAAAATTTTTCCTTGAAAATCTAATGCTGGTAATGTATGTTGTTCAAAAAAAATTATATTTTCACGTTTTAAACCAAAATAATTATGTGAACGAAAATATTTTTCAGTTTGTTCTTGTGTATGTTCACTTGTCATGATAAACCTAAATTATATTCATATATTTGTCATATGTTTAATTTTCGTTTCGACAAAACTAACCATGGTATAATACCAGTTTTTGTATTAAATTGTTCATTAGCAATTTGTTCAAGTCTACGAATTCGTTCAGCTTGAATTTGATAGAGTGATTTTTTTGATGGTAAATCAATCTCAAACATTCCTTTTGGATAGTCAACGCCTGAAGAACAAAAATAAATCAATAAGAATAATTAAGATCAAACCAAAAAAAATTCATCGTACCAAGACGAGTTCCTTGTCCGCCAGCAAGTAATAATACACATACAGAACCTTGAGAAATAGCTTTTAATCCTTTTTGTCGATAATCTTCGAGTTCTTCTCTACTGGCTTCATCGATTGATCCAGCCATATGATCAGGAATAGGTTCCATAATATCATCAATAACTTCTTGTTTTTTATTTTCACCATTTATTCCTGTAAATAAGTCATGTTTGATACCGTCATAAGCTTCTTTAACACGATCGAAATCGACTTCATTAATATCGTGTAAGAGTATTTGACGTTGTTCATCATTAAGTTCAGACCAATAAGCAAGTAAATGTGTCTGATTAGCTTTTGATAAACGTTGTTGTATGGCTGAATCAATCTCCATCTTTGAATAAAATGAACAAAATAAAAAGAAAAGAAAAAATAGATCAAATGTAAAGAGAAAAAGAAGTATCTCCCAATCTTTATGTAAATAAAAAGAAAAGATAAGTTTCGTTGACTCAATTCAATCGATTATGCAAGATAAGTTCAATTATTTCGAATAGATAATTTTTTTTGTCTTTTTCTGATTCTTCACATATATTGACATTTATCAAAGATTAGAATGTTCGATGCAATGTTTTTCTTCGTAAATCCGAAGAAAAACAATCTACAGATGTCAAATCGATATTTTCTTTTTTCTGATCAATGACTCATTCATTATTCAAGGTTTTATTATATATATATATCATTGATTGATTGATGGAAGATGACGTAATAAGAAATACAAATTATTTTTGTAGTTACTTCGAGTGTACGGTATCTATTCCATTTGAAAATTAAATTAAAATATTTATTCATTTTTAAATGTTTGAATTTTAATATTGAAAAATAGATGGCGCTGTAAGAGAGTGATTTAGAAAATATTTTTTCAATGGTTATAATTTGAAAACATTAAAAAAGAAATTAAAAAAATATTTTTTTTTCTTCAGATTAATGAATAAATATTAATCGTTATTATGAACCAATAGAAATATTTTAAAAAAAACAAATATTCATTCATTTATTTACTTATTCGATTATGTCAATACCGGCTGTCGTAAGTAAAGAAATATTATTTGAAGAAATTGAAATTTATTTAATTTATTTTTTAAGCGTTCTGATGATCATCGTCGTCGATGGGATTTACGTGAATATGAAAGAAAAGCAAGTGATCGAATTGAAACTCTTCGTTCAATAAAAAAGAAATCAACGACAACAGATGATAGTGATGATGATGACGAAGAGCAGAAAAAAAGTGATGAAAAAAAAATTGCACGAACACTTCTTCAAGCACGAGAATTTAAAGTTTGTTAAACGAATAAAAAAAAAAAACTATTGATTTTTTTTTAATGTCATTTTTGTCTTTAGGTTGATTTAGAATCTCGATTAGGTAAATCTGTTATTGTTACAAAAGCTACAGCACCTTCTGATGCAGGAGGGTAAGTAAATTTGTTTTTATTTATTTTATTAAATTAATTTTCATTTAGTTATTATTGTAATGTATGTGATTGTATTGTAAAAGATTCGATAAATTTTTTGGATCATATTAATGGAAAAAAACGTATGTTTGAATTATTTCTATAGATATATGTATGAAATTATATTTCGTTTATATATTTAGATCAACGAAATATGGGTATGTCAATGCGTGTTGAACGATCAAATGTTGATCAAGTACGAAAACGAATTGAATTAAATAAAGCTAAACAAAATGAAGTTGAAAAAGAATATAATTTTGAAGAACGTATGAAAGAATTAAAAGAAGAAGTATGTAAATGAAATTTTTTTTTGATTATATTTCATTAGAGTTTTTTTTTTATAGGAAGAAAAAATGAAAGCACAACGACGTGATAAAAGAAAAGAAAATAAAAAACGAAAATTAGATGAATATCAATCAACTAATGATAATGAAGATATTGTCAAAGATGAGATGGCTGCTATTATGGGATTTAGTGGTTTTGGAGGTTCAAAAAAATAAATTCATTATAAAATGTATATTGTTATATAAATAAAAGAACTAAACTTTTATAAAAAAAAAAAGTCGAAAGAAATATATTTTGAAGTTGTTTATTAATCAACAAACAATGCCGCTTCATGGAAATCATACTTGATAATTTCATGTTATTTTGTTGTTTATATGTAATTTTCTAATACAATTTAGAATTGAAATTGATTTATCATATTTCTTTTTAGATTTTATACGAATATATTATAAACCTTATAGAAATCAGTAGAGATTTTTCGTATCCGAAGTCCTAATACGATGATTCTGATGTTGAGATCTCTTACTAGATTTTCAGTATGATGATGTTTCCTTCGTCCAAAGATTATAAATAATCTATATGAATTTTGTTTTCATATTATCGGTATAATGAAGCGAGACTTGACATTGACATTAACAATGATTAATTATTGATAATACTAATGATAATCCATTAATGGATAATTGTTTTGCATCTTTTTTTTTTATTAATTAGCAGAACTCTATAAGAGACTATTAGCAATGCCATTTGTAATGGCTATGCAAGAAAAAACAAGACTATGCGCTGTCAAAGAATTGTATAGAAAACAGAACAAAACTTTGCTGGCTGTAGATGACAGTGAATATTTGATATTAATATAAACGAATTAGAAAGCTGCGGGTCCGGGTCTGAAAATTTAGCTTTTACCGGGCCCGGGTCTAAGCCTAAGAGGAAAGTGAGACCCGGTCTGCATTAAGTTATGAATGGAAATATATAACAATAACAATTGAAGTTAACAAAATTGAAAAAGAAACAGTCAGGAATAATTTTACACTCATTTGACCTTTAAAGTCTCCAGTGAAGAGCTAAAATTGTGTTCCCTTTTCTGTTCATGTACACATAGGGTGTCAAATATTGGTGAAAAGAGGATCGGGTCTAGACCCGGCCGGGTCTGGGTCTAGACTCAGCCGGATCCGGGTCTGAAAATTTAGTTTTTCCGGGGCCCGGGTCTGGGTCCAAAAAAACATGGACCCGCAGCTCTCTAAAACGAATACAATAGATAATGTTTGTGTACAGAGGATACTAAATATCGATACATTTATCGTATTAAAACAAAACGCTTGGTAAAGTACGATATCGGATTTTGCAAATTGAATTAAAAAATGTTTTTTTTTTATTATAATCAGAGTAAGATTAAATGTAAATTCAACAATAACTTTCTATAATCATAGTAAATTTTCATGAATTCAACAGTTACTAAGAGTTTTTTGCTATGTGTGTAATGTCGAAAATCGAAGTTTGAAATACTTCACACTCTGCGCTTAGATGCTATCGAGTTATTATGAGGTAAGCAAAAATTGTTTTATTCACTAAATATGTAAAACTATTAGAAAAGTTCAGAATTTCATTCTGATGATGTCAAGATGAGTCAATAAAATAATATCTGAGATCATACAGTACAAATGACAATTTTTTTTTCGATAGTTAATTGAGCATAGTCTCATGTAAAAAATGACGTTATATTAATAAAAAAAAAGTTTTCGCTCCTTGTTGATTTGTCAAATGAAATTATATTAATATCTACTTTTTTTAATTTTGTTATTTGCTATTACGTCTTGTTCGTCAAACTGCTGGCTCAAATTGTCACTTTCATGATTATTATAAAAGCTTTTATTTAAATTTAAGTTCAAAGCTAAGGTAATGATATATAGCACGCAAGTGGGAAAAGAAATATAGTATATATAGAGATATTTAGAATATTTTTTGATAAATGAAAACTATGATCGATGATGAATTGCACAGGAAATAGAGAGTTTCAATAGATAATAATTCAATTATCATCTCTATTTCGTAGATTGATTTAAATTTCTTTTTTATTTCATAAGATATGTAGAAAAAAAAAAAGAATTAACACTAAAAATTAGTTGATAAATGATGAAATCGTATGTTTTTAGAATTGTTTTGCCGTATAAATAAAGAATATAAATATTTTCATTAATGAATAAGTCAAACCAATTTTCACAAGATGAACTAAAGTAGGCTAAATAGAAAGAGAATGAAGAAACAAATGTTTTTTTTTACTAAGTTTTCATTTATTATAAACCACATACCGGGTAAGTCAAAATGATTGTAACATCGAGTATTTTGCAAATATTTCAATATTGAATTATTTTCTTATAAGGCTAAAACTGAAGCACTATGGATGATGTTCAAAATATTCTATTATTTTGAGAATGCGCTACTGTTGGTTTAAGGATTTTCAATGACGAATTTTATTTATCATACCTATCGAAGTAACACATTTGATTGATAAATAAGACTTCATGCGTCTAGAGAAAGTCTAAAAGAATTCAACCCTACGTAACTTCCGTGTGAACGTTTTTTTGAATTGTCTATAGATTGAGACCTTGTAAACGAAAAATTTTAATTTATTAAACATTGGGTAATGAGAAAGTGAACAACAAGAAACAATCGCATGCTGACTTTTTTCTCTGAGAACAGCTAAAACATTGATTCTTCTTTCGTCTATGTACACAGAAAGTGCCAGATAATGATAGGAAAAAACTCCGATCCGAGTCCGAGTCTCGAAGTTTAGATTTTCTCAAATGCACAACGTCCTGGAATTCTCTAATATTTTTACGCAAAAGATTGTTTTGCATTGTGCTGCTGAATTTTTTTAAAAAATACAAAAGATGAAGATCTTCGTGATATCATTATTGTTCATTATAACAATAGAAAAAAACTCCGGAAATCTCAAGTATCATACTTAAAGATTGATACTCTTCTAATTCATCGAACTCAAACCTATGAGACTACTCTACTTGGCATCATATCAATAAGAACATTGATTATCGAAAGTTTAAAACACAAGAAGATTTGTAGAAACAAATAAAATAAAACATGTAGAAAAGAATTTATCTGAGCCATGTTCACAAAGTAATCGACTTTTTTCTTCAAAGAATTCACACAGTTCAACAATATAATTGCGGTCATATGTCACTTCAACTTTTTTTTTGTAATAAAGTAGTAGTGCTTCAAGTTTTAGCCTTATAAAAGAAAAATCATTAAAGCAATTCAACGCATTTTTTCATTACCATTCATGTAGAGAATTTGATCATGTATCTTTTTAAAAAAAAAATTTCAACGTTATAGGATTTTCCTATATTGAGATATTTGCAAAATATTCAATGTTGCAATTATTTTGACTCTCTCGATATAGATCTATCGTTCTATTGTATGTCAAGGATATAATACATAGTTAAGATAAACTCAAAGTAGATAGCAAACTCGTTTTGATAATAGAACAATATCATATCATAACAATTATGTTGTTGAATTCACAAAATATTAATCAATTTTTATATTCAATCAATGAATAAAAGAAGGCTTATAATCTGATTGT